TTTGGTAAGAAAGGACACAGGGTTCCTCACTATAGGCTAGCACAGTAACATTTCCAAACTGTTTATACTTTGCATTACAACAGGGAAAACATGCAACCTCATCTTGTTTTCCCTTAGCAACAGAGAGGCCTTCCTTTAAGCCTAGGGAGAGCTGAAAAGCCCATGATGTCGGGGTGCAGATGACATTATAACCCCAGTGACCCAGACTGACCACCTTTGCAGTTTCTTGGATGGCTCTCTTGGATGAGACGAGAGCGCTCCACAGGCCGGCTTTGCAAGATGCCAAAGGAATCCAGATTTTACAATGGCTGGGGTTTTTTGATCAAACCCAGACTGCTTCGGTAGGAGAACCAGTTTTGAATCAGAAATTGCTCCTTGACGCCAGAAATGGCTGGCCGATTTCTTCCTTCCGTACTTGGTATTAAATTCTTTTTCTTTCTGTAAAACGAAACGGAAGCTGGTGATGGTGGGAGAGCTAAATATGGCACGAGCTATGTATGTCTTTGGAAAGGGCACCAGACGGGAGGCGAGGAAGTGTCATTGATAAGTCGTGGTTAAAAAGGAAGTAGAGGCACTGGTGTGAACGAGAGGTGAAACCCCCAGGTGTGGACGGCAGAAAGGCAGATTTTAACCGCTGGAGGATATGACCTCATTTTTTCGGTTTTAATCAACTGTCATCACATCGTTCTTAATTTTCTATTTTTGCTTGCTGCTGTTCTTATTCACATCCTTGGGTTTACCAATTTTAAAGGTGTTTCAGCAGCTTAAACGAATGGAAGTTCCCAATATTTTGTCGCCAGGTTGGGCGGGGGAGGCCTGGCAATCCACGTCAAAGGGTTTGAGATGATAAACTACTTACGAAAAATAAGTGGCTCCAGCTTCAGACATGTTCCTCTTCCAAACTGCCTGTGTTACAAGATGTTTGCCTTTTGTTAGATTTGGGTGGCCATGGCTAAGAAGAATCAGAGTGTTGCCTTCAATGGCCCCTCTTTTATACGATCTGGCATGGCAAGTTCTTAGCCTCTTCAATATTTTTGTCCACATTGGGGTGCAACACCATATCCTTGGCCAAGATGGGAAATGTTTCCTGTTTTGGACTACAGCTCCCATGATCCCCGGCCAGTGTGGTTCCAGTTCTCATGAGATCCGCCAAGATAAGAACACCTGGCCTGCAGGCGAGGCAGATATTCGAAACCAGCCAACTGACCTACCAAAAACATGTGCCAACTTGCAACTGGAGAGTTCAAGATCTGGATTTGTTCTAGACGTAGGACAACTATTCTCAGTGTTTGAGGAAAGCATAATCAGTATTTACTGTCAGCGTCTGAGGAAGTCTCCTCAGTTTCTGAGGAGAATGAATAATAAGCTCTCCACTGGATGCTTTCAAGTTGGGCTTCCAGATTCATAAACGCTCCAGTGGAACTTCTGACAAAGGGCCAAGGTTGCATCGTAAATGGTGCTTAATTAGAGGATAGGTGAGTCTCATAAAAAAAACACACAACAACCAATAAAAGGTGTTGTTGATTGCCTTTCATTTCCTGTAGGAAGGATTTTAATAATCCTGCATCCACACTACCCATTTCTCCCCTGCATATCTTCAAGATGACCCATCCCTTTCATTCTTGGTTTATATCTGCTTGCTGGTGGGGGGGGGCATATTTTGCATTCGGTCCCGACTGGGGGGGTGTCTCCCCCGGTGCTTCAGATAAAGAGCAGCCACCATGTCATCCTCCAAAGCCTGAAGTTCTTCTATGTTCCTGGAGGGCTTCCGATGTCACACAAAAATAAGACGAGACCCATCGTTCAGGATGGCCTTCAGAATAAGATTGTTTTGGATTTTGAGACTTTGCTGGCTTCCTAAGGCCTGCTCCAAATTATGCAGTGAAAGGAGCAAAAGATAAAGAGTTTCATGGCAGCCTCTTTTTTGGAGGCTGCTTTTCTCTTTCTGTTTTAGCTAAACAGGAGAAAACCGTGCTTCTCTTGACATTCTTATTAGCTTAATAATTAATAATCCACTGCAGAGCTGGAAGGGACCCTATGGGACACTGAGTCCCAGCCCCTATCAAGGAGACCTAGTGGGGAATTCGAACTCCAACCTCTGGCTCCACACTCAGAGACCTACACCCCTCAACTGTCCATCATCATCATCACCTTAGAAGCCAACCTCTGGCTCCACACTCAGAGACCTATGCCCCTGAACTGTCCATCATCATTATCATCTTAGAAGTGCAGAGCTGGAAGGGACCCTCTGGATCATCCAGCCCAGCCCCTCTCAAGGAGGCCCAGTGGGGAATCGAACCCCCAACCAATGCCTTAAACCACTGAGCTATTACGGTTCGTTCCCCACGCCAGTCACATGTTCAGCCATCTCCTAAGTTCAGTCTAGTTTATATCCTCCTCAGAACTACGATGACAACTAGCATGGGATATCATACGATCTGAGCCAGCCTGGCCCAAGCGGGGACGTGATCTCCCTGGGCTGGCTTATGACAGATACGTTTCCTAATGCAGACCAAAAATAGCTCTTGGTCTTCTTTGTTTTGGATTCTTGCAACAGAGATGGACTCTGAGGAATGTCAACTCGCAGACTTCCCCATGACACTTGTTTTATAACCAGTCTCAGTGAGAATCGGAGGCCCCACCTCTGCCTTCCTCTCTCCAAAGTATGTACCTCTTGCAAGGCATCTCCTGGGAATCTCACCGGGCCTCCATCCGACTCCATCGCCACCTGCTGGGAGGTGCTTCACCCTGAACTCCCCGTCTTGAGGTCTCTCTGCCTTCAGGTTTTTCTGCCCAGAATCTGCAAGCTCCAGGTTGTAATTATCCTACGTTCACGAAGCAGACAAACGCCCATGTGAGGAAGCCAGACGTCAAGCTGTAGCTCCCGGTAGTCCAACAACATGGACATGAAAGAGTCCAACACGGTGATACTAGTTTGGTGGGCCGCCAAAACAGACGTAATCTCCTTTCTCGGCACTGTGACTTGACCAACCAGGAAAGAATTGAGTGTCTTAATAATTCTTAGCTCATGGGTGAGAAAGCTATTCCTTTGCAACAAGGAAAACGATTCAATTTTCATTTATCCGTGGTTCATATGCGGACTTTCTTATTTACCCTTGATGGCTGGCATCGGAGTAGAATGCATTGCTAAGGAGCCGTTGGGTTGTTGGAGGAGGGAATACGAGTGGTTTCTGTAGGCCGTGACCCATTCACACGTGCAAGCTGCCTGTTAGATCAAGGGGTGGCTGTGTGAACCATGCTGGACATCAGTGTGAGAAAACCTGGATGTCTCCTTTTCAACAGATGCGTGAATAAAATTGTAATTTCCTGTTGCAACTTGTGTTTGTGCGTAGAAGGGGGGTCTGAATACACAGCCCTCAGCAAAACAGCGATGCCTGCCATTCAGACACAAATATCAGCCGCAACGTACAGAAGCTGTAAAGTGTTTGGCCTATGTAAGTGTAAAAAAGAGAAGCAGTGAGGTGTAATGGTTATCGTTTCAGGTCAGGGAACGCACCGGGGGAGGGTGGCAGTGGTAAATAACCGCATGAATATCCCACATACTAAAAACGCCCTAAGCAAACTCAAGTAGAGTCACCACGCACCGGGGGAGGGTGGCAGTGGTAAATGACTGCTTGAATATCCCACATACTAAAAAACCCCTCAGCAAACTCATGTAGAGTCACCGTAAGTCAGAAGTCACTTGATGGCACATAACAAGAAGTGTGAAAATACTGTGAAACATGCCATTGAAATTGGGACATTTTAAATCTACTTTTTGACCAGGTACAGACGTGAGGTAGAGGAATCTCAATGGAAGGTCAGATGAAATCAAGGAAGGGAAAAGATGAAACACTGGGGCAGGAGTTCTGCGATACAGAAATCAAGGCAATTTCCGCTTCCCCTTTAGGTGCTTGGTGTTTATCTTTCATGTGGATGCAAAGGGTTCTCAAGGATCCCATCAGGAAGTGTGGAAAACGTCTGCCTGAAACATCTGCCTCTCATCATCTGGTCCATCCATTCCATACTCTCCACGTCCTGGACCAGCGGCATCCCCCAGCCATCCTGGCCTTCTGGATGAAAGGAATCATCCCTGAGAAGGATGCTCTGAAACATGCCAAGGGGACCCTTCTGAGACATACAATCCCCAAGCTCTCCTCTCTGAATCGGGATTTTGTAACTGGAGCCACGTATTCTTGAATCCCATATTGAAGCAGGTGAGAGAAGAAACACACAAAATAAACCCTGGGAGCGGCAATTCAGACATGACATTGGTTCACCCAGGGAAAACACATGAGGAACCGCATGATACTGGTAGATGGTGTTGTTTCGGTGCGGAGGGGGATAGCAGCCTGCATTGGGTTGCATCCTTTGATCCATGTGTATTTGGGGGCCAGGGGGGCATGATTCGAAGGTCATCATCATCATCATCTATTTAAGAAAGTTTTTTTAAAGCTCCCCTTGGAAATAGCTTGGACAAATAAACGTTTTTGGGTTTTTTTGGTACTACAGCTGCAGTCCCTAAATATACTTATTTAAGGTCCAGCCATCCTGCAGGATGGGCTCGCGAGTCCTTAAGGTCCAGTCATCCTGCAGGATGGGCTCGCGAGTCCGATCCCGCTTTCTAGCTGCAGCTCTTTCCGACGCACCCCGCACACGTGCGCACCCAGGGCTTCTCCACACACACACACACCCCGAGCCCACACCTTGCGCTCGCAGACACGGGTCCACCGACCCAGACGTATATTTATTGGTAGGCGCGTCCAGAGAGCGGCCTGAGAACGAGAACCGTCCCTCCCAAACGGGCGCATTCCGAAGCTACTCAGCCCGGCGGCCGTCCCCTTCCAACTCCGGCCGGGCCGCCCCGAGCGTGGATGAGCGGCCGGCACGTGAGGAGGCCGTGCCCAAACAAGGGAGTTCCTTGGTGACGCACACGTCCATATATGGCGCGCCGGGGCGGGGCCCGGCTTGGGATTGGCGGAGTACTTAAGCGCCCGCGTCGCTCCGCAGGGCAGACCTGGCTTGGAACTTGAGCGCTAGTTGCGTGTCCGGAGTGGTCGTGGGAACCGCGCTTTTGGCAGCCGCGCGCTTGGTTTTGCTACTTCTTCTTTTGCCCGGTTTTTTTTTGGTGTGTCTCGTCCTCCTTGTCCAGAGCTCGCCTGGGCTGCCAGCATGGTGATCGAGGAGGTGGTCCCCTTGGAAAGCTCCGGCCTGGCCCAACTGCTGCGAGACCCGCAAGAGGGCGGCCGGACGCTGGTGCTCGACTGCCGGCCCTTCCTCGCCTACTGCCAGGCGCACCTGCTCGACTCGCGGCCGGTGCACTGGAACGGGCTGCTCCGGCGCCGCTCCCGAGGCCGGAGCGGGGTCAGCCTGGAGTGGCTGGTGCCGGATCGGGCCCTGCTGGGCCGGCTGCGCAAGGGCGAGCTGGCCCACCTGGTGGTGCTGGATGAGGCCAGCGGCTCGGTG